ACGAGGGCCTCGTCGGCCCACTCGTCGCACAGCTAACTCATGACCTCGTCGCCGTCGGACGCGTCCATGCCAGCGGGCAGGCGCAAGAGCTCCAGGCCCTCGCGCACCCCGCCAGCAGCGCCACCTCCGTCCGTAGCCACCCCCGCCTGGGGGTCGTCGGCGCGGCCGCTGCCCACCGCCTCGGCCGCAGCGTTGGGGCGCGCCCCGTCCGCCTTGGCCGCCACGCCAGCGCCGCCGCCGACGACACCACCTCCGTCATCTCCTCCCCCCCGAGCCTCAGGACGAGGCTGCGCACGGCGCCGTCGCTGCCGAGCCTGGCGGGCAAGCTCCTGCGTCTCGGCCTCCGCGGGGGGAGAGCGCACGTTCGCCTCAGCAGCGCCTCGACCGCCGCGCCCGCGCCGCCGCCGCCTCGGAGGGGCCGCGGTGCCGGGGCGAGGAGGAGGCGCCCGGGGGCGGCAGCCCAGGGCTGCCACCGCGGCGCGCAGGAGGCCCTCGGCGGCCCGCACGAGGCGTACTCCCGACGGGGAGCAGCCTGCGGCGAGCCCCGAGGCGGCGTGGGCGCGTGTGTGTGTGTGTGTGTGTTGTGTGTTGTGTGTTGTGTGTTGTGTGTTGTGTGTTGTGTGTTGTGTGACGTGTGTCGTGTGTTGTATGTTGTGTGTCGTGTGTCGTGTGTCGTGTGTCGTGTGTCGTGTGTCGTGTGTCGTGTGTCGTGTGTCGTGCGTTGTGCGTTGTGCGTTGTGCGTTGTGCGCTGTGCGTTGTCCGTTGTGCGTTGTGCATTGTGCGTTGTGCATTGTGCGTTGTGCGTTGTGCGTTGTGCGTTGTGCGTTGTGCGTTGTGCGTTGTGCGATGCGCGATGCACGATGTGCGGTGTGCGGTGTGAGGTGTGCGGTGTGCGGTGTGCGGTGTGCGGTGTGCGGTGTGCGGTGTGCGTTGTGCGTTGTGCGTTGTGCGTTGTGCGTGTGCGTGTGCGTGTGCGCGTGCGTGTGCGTGTGCGTGTGCGTGTGCGTGTGCGTGTGGGGGTGCGTGTGCGTGTGCGTGTGCGGTGTGCGATGTGCGTTGTGCGTTGTGCGTTGTGCGTGTGCGTGTGCGTGTGCGTGTGCATGTGCGTGTGCGCGTGCGCGCGCGTGTGCGCGTGCGTGAGTTGTGCGGTGTGCGATGCGCGATGTGCGGTGTGCGTGTGCGTGTGCGGTGTGCGGTGTGCGGTGTGCGGTTTGCGGTGTGCGTGTGTGCGTGCGTGTGCGTGTGCGTGTGCGTGTGCGTGTGCGAGTGCGTGTGCGTGTGCGTGTGCGTGTGCGTGTGCGTGTGCGTGTGCGTTGCGTGTGCGTGTGCGTGTGCGTGTGCGTGTGCGTGTGTGTTGTGAATGTGTTTGTGTGTGTGTGGGTTGTGTGTGTGTTGTGTGTGTGTGTGTGTTGTGTGTGTGTTGTGTGTTTGTGTGTGTGTGTGTGTGCGTGTGCGTGCGTGTGCGTGTGCGTGTGCGTGTGCGTTGAGTGTGTTTGTGTGTGTGTTTGTGTGCGTGCGTGTGCGTGTGCGTGTGCGTGTGCGGTGTGCGTGTGCGTGTGCGTGTGCGTGTGCGTGCGCGTGCGTGCGCGTGCGCGTGCGCTTGCGGATGCGCGTGCGAGCGCGCGTGCGTGCGTGCGTGCGTGTGTGCGTGCGTGCGCGCGTGCGTGCAAGCATGCGTGCGTGCGTGCGTGTGTGCGTGCGTGCGTGCGTGCGTGCGTGTGTGCGTGTTTTTTGTGTGCGTGCGTGCGTGCGTGCGTGCGTGCGTGCGTGCGTGCGTGCGTGCGTGCGCGCGCGGCGGGCGGGCGGGCGGGCGGGCGTGCGTGCGTGTGTGTGTGTGTGTGTGTGTGGTGTGTGTGTGTGAAGGGGGGGATGTGGGGGGGGGAGGGGGGGTGGGGGGGGGGTGGGTGTGGTGTGGGGGGGGGGGGTGGGAGTGGGGGGGGGATGGGGGGGGAAGGGCGTGGGCGCGTGGGCGCGTGGGCGGGGGGCGTGGGCGTGTGCGTGTGCGTGCGTGTGCGTGTGCGTGTGCGTGTGCGTGTGTGCGTGCGTGTGCGTGTGCGTGTGCGTGTGCGTGTGCGCGTGCGCGTGCGTTGTGCGTGTGGCGTGTGCGTGTGCGTGTGCGTGTGCGTGTGCGTGTGCGTGTGCGTGTGCGTGTGCGTGCGCGTGCGTGCGCGTGCGCGTGTGCGTGCGCGTGCGCGTGCGTATGTGTGTGTGTGTGTGTGTGTGTGTGTGTGTGCGTGCGTGCGTGCGTGCGTGAGTGTGTGTGTGTGTGTTTGGGTGTACGTGCGTGTGTGTGTGTGTGTGTGTGCGTGTCGGTGCCCCCGTTTAGCTAGCTTCTTCCACCAGCGCAGACGACCCATGCGAAGACGCCGACGCAAAAAAATGAATGTGGGTGTGTGTATGTTTTTGTGTATGTATATATATATATATATGTGTATATGTGTATGTATGTGTGTGTGTTGGTGTCTGTGTGTCTGTGTGTCTGTGTGCATGTATGTATGTGTTGTCTGTGTGTTGTGCGTTTGTGTATTTGTGTGTTTGTGTGTTTGTATGTTTGTGTGTATGTGTGTGGCGTGTGAGTGTCAGTGTGATTGTGTTTGAATGTATGTAAATGTGTGTACGTGTGTGTATGTGTCTGTAAGTGTGTGTGTGTGTGCATGTGTGTGCGCGTGTAAGTGTAAGTACGTGTGTGTAAGTGTGTGTGTGAGTGTGTGTTGTGTGTTGTGTGTTGTGTGTTGTGTCCGTGTCTGCGTGTGTGTGCAATCTCGCACTGCCAAGGACTGTCAGAAGCGAGTTCGTTGGCAACAGTTGCATCGTACAATGTCGCTGCATACCATATTTCTCTTCCAGTGCAGGGCGCATTGACCGTTTCAGGCTCGACTCGACAGATATGAGAAGAGTCAGGTCTCGACGCAATTAAGCGAGGGAACCAATGCTCCGCGCTGTTGCCATCTTCTGACGATTCAGCAACCATCGGAACTGAGCCACTGGACCCGTGCGTCGCAAATCAGGACGATTTCCACGAACATCTTTTCTGCGCACTGTATCACCGTGCGCATTCAAGTCTGTCAGTGTGAAACAAGCATCAGATCGGGCATGTCCCCCTACAGGCGGACTTTGGACGAACATGGAAAATAGTCAAACATACGCCAAAGGGACCAAACAGATTCGAAAAATCGTCCCCTGGCAATGTTTCTGCTACTTTTTCGTTTTCCTCGAGTAGAGGGACACACCCGACTCAAAAAACACGCACGTCCGTGCGAGGGAAAAGGCGCCCGCGCAGCAATCTGCCGACCCCCGCTTTTGCCACGGGCGAAAAAGCGTGCCAAATAGTGGGCCGTCCCCCTGCCCCGTGCCCCCTCCTCCGGGGCCTGTAGAATCCCGCGAGATGGGGAGTCCCCATACGACCCTGCTTCGGCGGCGAGCCGTGGGGGGGAGGTGAGAAGGAGAAGGCCTTCTCAGGAGGCTCGGAAGGCCACCGGCCTCCCGAGAAGCTTTCTAGGCTCCCCCCGAAGACAGAGAAAACCTCTCGGGAGGCGCGAGGGCTTCTGAGAAGTCCCGCCGCCTTGTGAGAAGGCCTTCGCCCTCTCACTTCCACCCCCCTCGCTCGCCGCCGATTCTGAACCGACATCCTGGCCCGCCAGAGCCTCCAAGTCCACCCTCAGTTGCCTCCAAGATGCTCAAAATATCTTCCAGGACGCCTCAAGAGCTCCAACAGGCCAGAGAAGCCTACACCGAACATGAACTCAAGAGGGCCCAAGATGATCCACAAGACGGTGACAATATGCAGAAATTCGTGATTCCCCAGTTGTGTTTGAATGGGTTTCGCGCTATCGCAGCGTCGAGGTTCTGAACGCCGAGACGGACCGAGAAGCCACCCATATTGGCCCAAAACGGCCGAAAAGGCCCTCACCACGAGGGCCTGGAGACAGTCCAGGAGGGCCCCGAGACTGCCCCCACAAAGGGCCCCCGAGACGGCTGCCCAGGAGGAGCCCCAGGGAGTGCCGGAGGAGGGGCCCCGGGAGGCCCACGACGGGGGAAGGCGCGGGGCTCCTGGAGGCCCCCCCCCCTCGCAGAGAGGCCCGGCGACGCCCGGCGTGCCCCCGGGAGGTCCCCCGGGCGGCCCCCCGAGGGGCCGCGCCCCGACGGCGCCCCGGGGCGCCCCAGCGAACACGGCAGAGAGGCCCCCCACGAGAGGCCGCGGGCCGCCAAGAAGAAGCCGCGCGGCAGAGACGCGGGAGAGGGGGGGCGGCCCGGAAGCAGCGGCACGCGCGGGCAGGCAGGACGGGGCGCGGCCAGCAAGACACGGGACATGGGAAGTAACTACTGGGAGGTGTTCGTCGGCGGGGAAAGGAAGGAGGATGGAGCCCCATCTGGGAGCCGTTGCGCCGGAGTGGGCCTCGGACCAAGCAGGACTAAGCCGGATTGAGCGGGATCAAGCGGGATTAAGCCGGATGAAGCGGGATTAAGCAGGGTGAAGCGGGATTTCGGACCCGGGCAAAATCAGAGTTTGACCTCCCAAGAGTTGCATCCACGCCGCACACCTTTTCCTCTGGGTGCCGGCGGAATGGCGCGAGCCTCTCGAGTAGCGAGTCGCCGCCCGGCACGAGTGCAGCACGCTGGAGCTCAGCGTCCAGTGGCCAGCGCCAGCAAGAGAGCCCACGCGTGCTGCCCAAGACGAGCCCCCTGCCCGCACGATGGAGAAGGCTGGTGATCAGCGGTGACGCGGCGCAAGCTCAGCACACGAAGGCCACCCGACTAAAGGAATCCGAGAGTCAAACATTTCGGTGCACACATGCGCGTGTGCTGCCACTGCGAAGTAGAGACGTCAGTACACCCCGTCAGAGGCGAGGCAAACACATGCTAATTGGGCGTTCGGTGCGAATGTTCAACATATAGCGTCACCAATATCGGCGGTGAGCGAGGGGGGGAGTGAGAAGGAGAAGGCCTTCTCAGAAGTCTCGAAGTGCTCCGGCCTTCTGAGAAGATGTCTAAACCTTCCCCGACGACAACAAACAAATTCCTCAGAAGGCGCGAGGGCTTCTGAGAAGTCCCGCCGCCTTCTGAAAAGGCCTTCTCCTCCTTAGTTCCCCCCCCCCCCTCGCTCGCCGCCGACAATACCTCGGATGCCGACGCCCTGCTTCGTCAAAATTCGCCAATTGAGCTTACGTAACCTTTGCGCCCAGGCCGCTCATCCATGTATCCAGCGCGCCGAATGCTTCCTGCAGGACATAGCAGAGCGATAACGCCTCACTCCGCTTCTGAAGCAGATCTTCCTGCGACGAGGAGCTTTCCGCCTGGAAAAACATCTCCCAATCTGTATTCTCCGTCAGATCGCTCAACATATCGAGAATCTCTAGAAGCCGCACCTGATGCAAGTTGAACAGGTCGCACTCTGGGCTTCGAGCGTCCATCAAATACGCGAAGGCGTGCGTCCACTTGAGAATTCGCCGGCCTTTGACAACTTCCCCTGCAACGCATGGAAGAAAGCCTAGATTGCGCGCGGTTGCGGAGGACTGAATGCAGGAGTCCAACAGCGCCTTTGACTTGTCGACACACCGCATGGCCCACGCCTGTGCTTCCCTCTGGCGAACAAATTGGTCCTGGTAGTGCCAAAGCCGTTCCGCAGAAATCTGCGTCTTCCTGGCATCTTCTTCTGCGGGCGCCCTTGTGCAAGGTCTCCCTCCGTGGGTGCCCCAAGGACATAAGCAATCCCAATTGAACTCGTGACCACAACCCGCTGGAGCGCGGCATGTCATATGCACGCAACCCCCGTTCTTCTGGATCAAGCGCGAACATGTTGGGCATGGCTTAACCTTTCCCGACATCTGCTCACGCTTCGCCCAGAGGTCAAACTCAGCGTCAGGGCCTCCGTCTCCTGGGCTGGCATCTCTCCATGCTTTGACGATGTCGCATGGTATTGGCAAGTGGTCTTCATCAGCGCAAGAAAAGCACCACTCCAGACCACATTCACATCGAACGCTAAGGCTCGTAGCCGCCACACTGGACACGACACTCGCGCAGCCTTTCCCAGGGCACCATTTCAGCAGAGCATTGCTGTCCACGAAGCTCTCAAGCCAGAATCGGTCGTACCTGTCACGAACAGGCGGCGCGCACAGTTGTTGCACAAACCCAGGTCGCACACGCTCTGAACATGCCGGGGCGGGACATCGAAGGTCCAGACAAGCTTTGCCATCACCGATGGCCGTGCGTAGGTAAGTCGACCAACACGTCCGACAAAACCCATGATCTCGGCAGGGCAAGACTGCGATCGGAGGGTCGCAATAGCATATTCCACAAAGGCTGCCATTGTCGAAATCGAACGGCGTGATATATTGCGACAAATTCCACTGCTGCCGCACACCCTCTGCATCATCCAACCATGCAGCAGCGACATCGTCAGAATTCCACCGAAAGCATCGGAGCAAGATCAAGGCATCCGCCTCATTGATACCCAACGTAATCGCCAAGTCCTTGACCTGCGAACCGTACGTCTGCTTCAGCACATACCCGGTCAGCACGCTCGGTGGACGAAGGCTGGCCGGGCTGGCGAAGGAGAACGGATCGCCCCCATTGCCGCCAAATGGATGACTAGGGGAACAAAAAGTGGCATAAACATAAAAACTCGGAGGTCCGCGCGGATTTCTCGGATCGACGCTGCACCCCCCTCCCTGGCGCGCGGAGCGCGCCAGGGGCGGCGCCGGAGGCGCCGCCGGGGGGCCCCAGCGCTGATCCGAGAAATCCGCGCGGACCTCCGAGGTTTTATGTTTATGTCATTTCTTGTTCCCCTAATGAGTGACCTCTTCTCCCTGGCTCGATGACCTGGCTGTCGACATGCGAGATGCTGGCCGATGAGACGCAACATCTTCTGGCTGCGACGGCGGCATCCGCCGACCCCGCTCCACAGGGCAGCGATGGGCCTGCTTTCCACCATCACCACCAGAAGTTGGAGGGGGGAAGGAGGACGAAGAGGAGGAGGAGGAGGAGGACGACGAGGAGGAGGAGGAGGAGGAGGAGGAGCAGGAGGAGGAGGACCCCCTCCCCCCCCTACTTCTGGCGGTGGTGGTGGTGGATCGGGCCGGGCGAACGGGGGGGATAGCAAAGGGGGGGGTCTGAGAATCAGCTCACGCAGCTCATTTTCCCGGCGCCTCCCGGCGCCGGGAGGCGCCCGTGCATCGAGAAATGGGCCCGGCGGCGGGGCCGAAACCAGCTGCATGCAGCAGATCTCGTACCCCCCCCCCCTGTTTCCCCATCCCCCCCCTGTCGTTCAGCACGAGCGGAAAACCCGCCCATCCGGCAGGGCGGCTGCCCGCCCCGCCCGCTGCGGCCCCCAGAAGCCCGACCCGCCCAGGAGGGCCCGCCCGGGGCCCGGTCGCTCGCGCGCTCGCGGGCCCGCCCGCCCGCTCTCGTGCCCCGCCCGCCCGGTGCGCTCGCCCAAAGTTCGATCCCCCGGCCCGCCCGTCGCGGCCCGCGCCCGCCCGACCCGACCCGCCGGTTCAGACTCCGCCCGCCCGCCTCGCCCGCCGCGGCCCGGCCGCTCGCTCGCTCGCCGGCGCGCCCGCGCTGACGCCCCGCCCCTCCTGCCCAGACCGCGACTTGGAGCCCGCCCGCCCGGGCCCGCCCGCCAGGGCCCGCCCGCCAGAAGCGCCATTCAGGCGACCCGTGGCAAAGACGACCGCCGGCGAAGATGACCACTGGCGAAGAGCACCACCACTGCCAGAGGGAAGGGCAGACCGAAAGGCGGGTGCGTGCCGGAGCACGTCCCAGAGGGCGCGCGTGTACTACACCGTGCGTGTCCCAATGGGTGCGTGCAAAACACGTCCCAAAGAGTCCGCGTACTACACGTGTCCCAGTGGGTTCGTGCCGGAGCACGACCCCAGGAGGGCGCGCGTGTACTATACCGTCCGTGTCCCAATGGGTGCTTGCAAAGCACGTCCCAAAAGGTCCGCGTACTACACGTGTCCCAGCGGGTGCGTGCCGGAGCACGTCCCAGAGGGCGCGCGTGTACTACACCGTACGAGTCCCAGTGGGTGCTTGCAAAGCACGTCCCAAAGAGTCCGCGTACTACACGTGTCCCAGTGGGTGCGTGCCGGAGCACGACCCCAGGAGGGCGCGCGTGTACTATACCGTCCGTGTCCCAATGGGTGCTTGCAAAGCACGTCCCAAAAGGTCCGCGTACTACACGTGTCCCAGCGGGTGCGTGCCGGAGCACGTCCCAGAGGGCGCGCGTGTACTACACCGTACGAGTCCCAGTGGGTGCTTGCAAAGCACGTCCCAAAGAGTCCGCGTACTACACGTGTCCCAGTGGGTGCGTGCCGGAGCACGGCCCCAGATGGCGCGCGTGTACTATACTGTCCGTGTCCCAATGGGTGCTTGCAAAGCACGTCCCAGAAGGTCCGCGTACTACACGTGTCCCAGTGGGTGCGTGCCGGAGCACGTCCCAGGAGGGCGCGCGTGTACTATACTGTACGTGTCCCAGTGGGTGTTTGCAAAGCACGTCCCAAAGGGTGCGCGTACAACACGTGTCCCACTGGGTGCGTGCCGAAGCACGTCCCAGAGGGTGCGCGTGTACTATACCGTACGTGTCCCAACGGGTGCGTGCAAAGCACGTCCCAAAGGGTCCGCGTACTACACGTGTTTCAATGGGTGCGTGCCAAAACACGTCCCAGAGAGTGCGCGTGTACCATACTGCACGTGTCCCAATGTGTGCGTGCAAACACGTCCTAAAGGGTGCGCGTACTACACGTTGCTCAGTGGATCCCATAGCGAAGGGCCCCCGCTCGAGAATTCCTCGCGAGTCACTCAGAAAGGAAGCCCCAGCTCGAGACTCCCTGCATGTTCAGACCCGAGGAGCTCAAAAGTGACGACGGTTAGAGAATTCGCATGACCGCGCTCGGGTTACCAACACGAAGCGCGTGCCCCATAGGGAAGGGGCTCCCGCCTGAGACTTCCTCGCAATTCACTCACAGACGAAGCTCCCGACTGAAACTTCCTCCAAATTCAGGCCTGAGGAGCCCAAAAGTGACGACAGTTACAGGGTTGAGGATGACCCGCTCGGATTACCAACGTGAAATGCGGGACCCGTAGGGAGGGGGCTCCCGCCTGAGACTTCCTCACAATTCACTCACAAAAGAGGCTGCCACCTGGTACTTCCTACATACTCAGGCCTCAGGAAACCAATAATGACGACAGTTACAGGGTTGAGGATGACCCGCTCGGATTACCAACATGAAGTGCGGGACCCATACGGAGGGGGCTCCCGCCTGACCCACAATTCACTCACTGACGAAGCTCCCGCTTGATGCCTCTTCCAAATTCAAATCTGAGGAGCCCAACGGTGACGACAGTTACAGGGTTGAGGATGACCCGCTCGGATTACCAACACGAAGTGCGAGACCCATGGGGGAGGGGCTCCCGCCTGAGACTTCCTCACAATTCACTCACAGACGAAGCTCCCGCTTGATACTTCCTCCAGGTTCAAGCTAGGGAGTGAGTGATGACGAAATGCTGACTGAGTGATGATGATGATGATGATGATGATGATGATGATAGTGAGTGAGTGAGTGAGTGAGTGAGTGAGTGAGTGAGTGAGTGAGTGAGTGGGTGAGTGGGTGAGTGGGTGAGTGGGTGAGTGGGTGAGTGGGTGAGCGATCGAGTGATGATGATGGTGGTCATGATGGTGGGTGTGAGTGTGTGAGTGAATGTGTGGATGTTTGTGGGTGAGTGTGGATGTGAGTGAGTGTGAGTGCTGACGATGAAGTGAGTGAGTGAGGCGGAGAGGGGGAATGAATGTGTGAGTGTGAGTGTGTGAGTGTGTGGTGATGATGATGATGATGATGATGATGATGATGATGATGATGATGATGATGATGACGATGATGATGATGATGAGGAAAGGGAGGGGAGGAGGAAGAGAGGGGGGAGGATAGATCCTGCGCGGGGTGTGTGCAGAGAAAACAAGAACCCCATTTTGGATGTGGGGAAATACACCGTTGAAACTTGGGCTCACTGAGCATAGCCTTCTCGCAATTGCTGCCTCAAATGAAACATCGAGGCATTGAGATGTTCGCGATGAGGACCAGGAGGGTCTCAAGGCGGGCCTACCAGGAGCCCAACAGCGCCCGAACTGACTCAAAGGGGGCCCAGTCGAATCTTGAAAAGCTCTCTGAAGCGACCCAGGAAGCTCCCACAAATTCCGAAACGGCAGAAAAAAAACGCCGAGGAAGCATAGGAGAGCCCAAATAAATTGCCAGGAGGAATCTGGCCCCAAAAAACCTCCTGGGCCTAACAGGGCCTCAAGAGGGCCCGAAAAGCACCCAAACTAGTCCTCAACAGCGCAACGAGAATGCCCAGAAACGTTCGAGCGTTGAGGCCATAGCCTTGCCGAACAGTCGAACGGTACAAAAAGACCTGTGATGCGTGAAATGATCTCGGTCGCTCGACAAAACCACCGCGGACGTCACTCCTCCTCCTCCTCCGCCTCCTCCTCCCCGTTTTTTTATAGCAACGCCCATGCCACACTCCGCCTCTTCCTCCTCCTCATCTTTCTCCTCCACCTCCTCTTTCCCTTCCTCCTCCTCCTCGTTCTCCTCTTCATCTTCGCCCTCTCCCTGTTCATGCCCCACCCGTCTCCCTCAACATTCGCATCGCAAGGTCTTCTCCTTCCTTATCAATATGTTCCCCCGCCCCGTCCTCAACCACCCCCTCCTCCCCGTCCACCTTGCCACCCCCCCGGGCGACGGAGCAATCCAGGACGTCGTCAGACACGCCCACTTCCGGTGATCGGCGAAATGGCGCAAAGCCTTGAGATAGTCTGCTGGATTGGCGCCGCGTCAAGATGCTGGGAATCGCTGTGTCGCGCCGACGCGTGCCCATGCTGCTCCAACGGTCGAGAGCCGCGTACTTCCAGTTCTGCGGCCGACGGCGCGCCTCGTGCCCCTGAACGAGCTGCCGCGCACAAGAGGATCAGCCCACGGCTCCTGCGAAGAGGCACCCTGGCCAGCAAAGACAACGCTTCGTCCCAACGACCGAGCCTGCTCGCGCAAACCGCGGCCTCAAAATGACGACCGATCTGCACGAACAGAGGCTCAGCCACACCCCATGCCGCGGCGGGCGACGTGCTACTGCACATCCGTGTAGCGATCGCGAAGCATTCAGCACCCTGTAGAGCATCCTGTTCGAATGCTGACAACGCCCCAGCTCGACGGAGCAACCCTTCCAGCCTGCCCAACACAGGAAATTCGCTCGCGAACGTGTAGACGTCGTAAGAAGTATCAGCGGCCGCTTTCAAGGCAGCTGCGGCCTGGTCCCACCGACCAACTGCTAGATAAGCGCGGCTTGCCTCTCGGCACGCTTCCCGCCTTGGCTGTGCCATCTCGAACGCTTTCAGCAAGCTGCGTTCCGCATCGAGTAGGCACGCGGAAGCTCTTGCATTAGTCTTGCCGATGTCAGAAGAAAGGATGCCCTGTACAAATTTTCTTCGTCCGAACTCATCCTTCAACGCACGCGTTTGGTCACGCAAGCGCCTGATGCGATCGACTACCTTGCGATGCGCGACGCGTTGCTTTGAACGTGCTGTATCCAACATGTGTTTGGGGACCGACCCCTCACGGTAATTACCCTGAGCACGAAGTAGAAGAACAAAGTGCTGCCATCGTTCTAGGCGTGCATGTTGAAGATCCTTGTACGTGGCCCAAACAACTGTCCCAAGCTGGTGCAACCGCACATGTTCTTGCATGGACGTCCGAACCTGTACCTGCAGCCCTCACAAACGGGGTCCGAGTAAATGGGGTCAAAATAATCGCGTCGCATCGCCGATGCGTCGCCGATGCATCGCCGATGCATCGGAGATGCATCGGAGACGTCGGCGATGCGTCGGCGCTGTCGGCCTGGAGAAACTCGAGCTCCACACCAAGCCGCATCGCCGATGCGTCGGCGACGCAACGGGCTTCACAAGGCGCATCTGCCCGGAACCCCTTTGGAAGGCCCGGAGTGCCACGAGGTCTGCCTTGGGCGCC